CAGACACAGTGACTGAGAACGGACTCCAGCAGGTGGACACGTGCTGTCTGCCCTGCTCCCGGGCCTGGGTGTCAGAAAGGGCAGTGAGACGCAGATGAGGGGGCAGGGTTCTGGCAGGGGGAAAGAACCAGGCACTGTGTCACCTAGCGGGGAGGGAGGGGGCAATCAAATTTGGGCCTCTTGACGCCAGGCTGGACTTTCTTTCCAATCAGCAGAAATCCCACATTGGGGTCAGAGAGATAGCACGGCCGGGGGGGGGGGGGGGGGGAGGCGGGAAGGGTGCGGTTGGCCTGGCACGTGGCCGACCGGGTTTGATCCCCGGCATCCCATAGGGTTCCCTGAGCATCGCCGGGTGTGACCCAAAAAGATGAAAAAAAGAAGAAGTGTTGCGTCAGGAACCAAGGAGCAGAGTTCTGCTCAGTGTGGGGACCACGGGTTCCGGGGAGCCGGGTCCCCCTGGGTGGATCTCACTTCCACTTCTTACTGACGCCCTCGACCTCTTGGTCCCTGCGAAGATATGTTCCTCTCTCAGCCTTGAAGGACTAGAATCAAATCGAAGATTTCCTGGACGTGCAGGCGCGTGGCAGGTCAGGGCGGTTTCTGCCTGGACAGACAGATAAGCTGGGTGACAGTCCCTCTCACTGTGGGTATCTCCCTGCCTTTCTCCCACTTCAACGTAGTTTCTTCTTTTAAAACCCAGTAACGTGGGGCTGGAGCGATAGCACAGCGGGGAGGGCGTTTGCCTTGCACCCTACTGACCGGGGTTCGATCCCCGGCATCCCATAGGGTCCCCCAAGCACCGCCAGGAGTGATCCCTGAGTGCAGAGCCAGGAAGAACCCCTGAGCATTGCTAGGCGTGGTTCAAAAAGAACGGTAGCACTGTCCTCCCGTTGTTCATCGATTTGCTCGAGCGGGCCCAGTAATGTCTCCATTGTGAGACTTGTTGTTACTGTGTTTGGCGTATCGAATACGTCTCGGGTAGCTTGCCAGGGTTTGCTGTGAGGGTGAAATATTCTCGGTAGCTTGCCCTCGAACCCGGCTTGGCTGGGCCGGCGGCTTGCAAGACAAACACCCTATCGCTCCAGCCCAAAAAAGCAAAAAAAAAAAAAAAAAAAATTAAATTAAATTAAAAACCACCCAGTAATGTTTTTTAAGCTATGAAGTGTTTTCTCTGATCCAAGAGAATCTAAAGGGGGTGGGGTGATAATAATAAATATAATTTATTTTTTATATTTCTAATTATAATTATACCACCCAGTTCCCCCACCTTCCAGTAGCTAGACAGCTACACCCACCAACGGCCGTGTAACCCCATCAACGGCCATGCAGGGACTTTCAAACCAAGCTCCCGGAAGTGACCTCTTATTCTCTAGTTCTCACACTCAGAGAACCCGGCAAGCTACTGAGAGTATCATAACCCCCTTTATACCTGCCTGGGAACACCTGTAAAGGTGATTAGAGGCTGCCCCCAAAGCCTCCATCCGTCTCGGAGAGCCCGGCAAGCTACCGAGAGTATCCCGCCCGCACGGCAGAGCCTGACAAGCTCCCCGTGGCGTACTCGATATGCCAAACACAGTAACAATGAATGGTCCTCATTCCCCTGTCCCTGAAGGAGCCCCCAATATGTCATCGGGCCACACTTGCACTTGACAGGGACGAATGGAGACGTTACTGGGCCCGCTGGAGCGAATTGAAGAACAGCGGGGTGATAGTGAAAGTGATCAGTATATTTATTGAGGTTGAAATGTTGACATTCATGGTGGTTGTTGTTGTTGTTGTTTAAACAAAGGAATGCCAAGGGAGCCCAGAAAGAAACCCAGGAAAAACCTAGTGTGTGTGGAGGGTTTATCTTATTCTTACTTTGGACAACCTGGCAGGCTACCGGATGTCACCTGCCCACACGGCAGAGTCTGGCAAACTCCCCGTGGCGTCCCCAATATGCCAAATACCAGTAACGATGATGGGTCTCATTCTCCTAACCCTGAAAGAGCCTTGAATGTGGCACTTTTTTTAAAAATCTCAGGGCTAGGACGAAGGAGACATTACTGGGGCCTGCTCGAGGCAATCGACAAACAACAGGATGATCGTGATTGATGGTGTTTAGATTTGTTTTTTTTTTTTCTTGGCAAGAGGTAGCTCAGGGCCCCTGTGGGATGCTGGGGTGGAACCCCAGTCGGCCACGTGCAAGGCCAACGCCCCCCCCCCCCCCCCCCCCCCCCCCCCCCCCCCCCGCTGTCCCCTGGCGCCAGCCGCAGATTAGATCTTTGGAGGAAGTGAAGGCAAAGCTTTCTTCTTGTCCTTAAGCGTGTTTTAAGCAAAGTGTGGAAAACTGGGGGCCAGTTCTCTTCCTCCTGGCTAATGGAAGGGTTTGTTCTCTCCACCCGCCTTCGCCGCCAGTTCCCCAGAGAAGGCGGTTCAGCAGCGGGCACTGGGACTCGGTCCTCAGAGCCTAGGTGACCAGCGGAGGAAGAAAGGGGGTTCCCAGCACCGCCTCCAGCCCCTCTCCTCGCTCACCCCCAACTCCAGGCAGAAATCACCTGACTTGAGGATCACTCGTGCACGTCGTGGTCTGCAAACCTGAGGGTCTCGTCCCCGTGCGGGCCGAGCCGGGGTGTTTAAAATCTCTGCTTTTGCGGGGCTGGAGTGATAGTACCATGGGGAGGACGTTGGCCTTGCACGCAGCCGACCTGGGTTCAATCCCCCGCATCCCATAGGGTCCCCTGAGCACCGCCAGGAGTGATTCCTGAGTGCAGAGCCAGGAGGAACCGCTGTGCGTCGCCGGGTGTGACCCAAAAAGCAATGAATAAATAAATAAATAATAAAATAAAAATCCCTGCTTTGTGGGGCTGGAGCAGTAGAACCGCGGGAAGGGTGTTTGCCTTGCACATAGCTGGCCCGGGTTCGATCCCCGGCATCCCATAGTGTCCCCCGAGCACCGCCAGGAGTGATTTTCCTGAGAGCATGAGCCAGGAGTAACCCCTGAGCATCCCTGGGTGTGACCCAAAAAGAAAAAAAATAAACTCCCTGCTTTGTACCGTGCCTTTGAGGCACGATGAGGTTTCAGCCGATGAGGTTGCTGTTCTCTCTGAGGGGCTGCCTTCCTGGTCACGTGTGCCCACTGCCGGCGGCGGCGGCTCTGGACATGAGGGCGCGTTGAACCATTGGCGGTCGGAGGGTTAAGAGACCTGATGGTCACCCTGCCCAGCCCCTAAGGGACAGGGACAGGCGCGATGCTCGGCCAGGTTGCCGTTTGTCGCGTCTCTTGGGTCAGGATGTCAGGGAGTGGGCACATTTAGTCATGGGAAGAAAATCAGTGTCCAGTACGCAGCGAGATGGGCAGTGCAGGCACCTTCGAAGGGGCTTTTTTCCCCGGAGGGCTCCGAGAGGGGCGTGCGTTCCCGGGTCGTCGTGAAATAGGGTCCTCTGGGCACAGCCCGAATCTCAGTCTCGGCCGATGCAGTTTCCTGCAGCAGCGAGATTCTTCTGTAACTGAGGGAGGTCGTGGCTGGGCGCCTGCTAATCGCCTGAAGTTAACTGATGAGGATGTGCAGCCGGGAGGATTGATTGAAGAGCCGCAGCCCCGTATGCTGCTTTCACTGCAAGCTGGAGGAGAGGGAGGGGGCCGAGCGAGACAGAGCGAGTGAGCGAGAGGAAAACGCCGGCTCTGAAGTGGGAGTAGCGTGGAGCCCAGGGGCCGGGAGGCCAGGAATGGAAGTTTGAACTGCATCTTTGTCGGAGGCGCCGCAGCAGCAAATGGAAGTTTGAGCTGCACCTTTCTGTCAGAGACGCAGCAGCAGCAGCAGCCAAAATGCCAGGCTCCAGCGTCTCGGTTTTCTCCCCCTCCCTCAAGACCTGCAAGAGGATCCAGATACTTTGCTTCGGCTTGGGGGTTTGGGGCGTGGGGCTTTCCTTTCCCCGGTCCACGCTGAGATTGCCTCGGGTTCTCTGAGGAACCGGATGCCGTGTCTGCCCGCGGACGGGAGATGGGGAGCGGCTGTGATAAAGGTATCCTCTGCGTCTGTGTGTGTGTGTGCGTGTGTTCGGTGTGTGTGTTCGGTGTGTGCATTCCGTGCCCGTGCAGTTACCGATGCGAGATGGGGAGGGAACCTCCGTGCAGTTACCGACGCGAGATGGGGAGGGAACCTTGTGCTAGCGTCCAGGCATCCGCTCGGAGGCTCTCGCCGCCCTTTGCCAAAAACGTGCAGCTTTTGTAGGTCGTCTGAACAGATTGAGGAGTCCGGGCCGGCTCATGCTAAGGTCGGCTCGCCGGAACAAGGAGAAGCGTTTCTATTTTTGTATCTGCCTCGGCATGGAAGTCCCTCGGCTGCCGTCTGGTGGATCAGCCTCTTCCCGGAGCTGACCTCTGACCTCGGAGCCAACGCCACCAAGCCCCGTGGAACACTAGACCGGATTGTGTTCCCGCCAACCAGCGGGTCCCCCCCCCCCCCGTACCCCCACCTCCCGCCCCCGGGTTCTGTTAACTCCCGGGGTGCCGAGCAGGCAGTGAGTCGGCTCCTGCAGCGTGAGGGGCACGTCCCCAAGTGCACTTCTGGGCATGCAGCCTAAGTCAGAGGAAATGCTTTTTCTCTGCACCTAACGTCTGCACGGCATCTCCCTGGGGTCTGAGGGTTCAGCTGCCCCCAGACGGGATGCAGTGACTTGGAGAGAGCACGCATGCGCCTTTAAAGCAAGTTGGGTTGGGGTGTTTTCTTTCTTTCTTTCTTTCTTTCTTTCTTTCCTTTTTTTTTCCTTAAAAAAAAAAGGCAGTAGGGGCTGGAACAATAGTACAGCAGGGAGGGCGTTTGCCTTGCACCCAGGTTCGATCCCCAACATTCTATAGGGTCCCCCGTGCACTGCCAAGAATGCAGAGCCAGGAGTCAGCCCTGAGCATCTTTGGTGTAATGCAAAAATAATAATAACAATAATTATAACATAACAATGTTGCAGTTTGGAGATGTGACGTTTGGGGTCCCTGATGATGTTTCTCTCGTCCCCCGCAGAGGTGCCGGCAGAGAGATCCCCCCGCCGACGGAGTATCTCAGGGACCAGCACCTCCGAGAAGCCCAGCTCCATGGACCCGGTGAACACGTCGCCCTTCAAAGTCCCAGTAAGTTTCATTTCTCCCCAAATCGTGTGTCCTCACGCACAGAGGCAGTTCCCCACTACATGCGCCTCGGAAGTCTCTCGGTGGGCATTTAGTTGGGGGAGGGGAGTTAGTTTGACTTGAAGCCTGTCCCCGAAATTCATAACTGGAGATGTGAAGTCCCAATGCCCGGGCCAGCACGTGTGGAGTGGCCTCTCCCCAGCTCTGGTACAACGAGGCTCGTTTCTGATAACAGGGTTTGGGGGGGCAGGGAGGAGAGTCTGGGGGTGTTGTTTCGGTTTTGTCCATCTTAGGACCAGGGTTTTGATTTTCCTTTTTTTTTTTTTTCCCAGCACAGCTGGGCAGAAACAGAGGCAGATCATAAAGTCACAGAGCAGGGCCAGAGCAATAGCACAGCGGGGAGGGCGTTGGCCTTGCACACGGCCGACCCGGGTTCGATCCCCAGCATCCCATAGGATTCCACGAGCACCGCCAGGAGTGATCCTGAGTGCAGAGCCAGGAGGAACCCCTGAGCATCACCAGGTGTGACCTGAAAAGAAAGAAAAATGATGGGAAAACAAAAATGTTGCAGAGGGGCTGGGGCCATAGCACAGCGGGGAGGGCGTTGGCCTTGCACGCAGCCGACCCGGGTTCGATCCCCGGCATCCCATAAGGTCCCCCAAGCACCGCCAAGAGTGATTCCTGAGCGCAGAACCAGGAGTAGCCCCTGGACATCACTGGGTGTGACCCAAAAAGCAAAGGAGAAAAAATATATATATTGCAGAGCCAGTGATCAGAGAATGCCCCAGTAGGGGGTTCTCATCCCAAGTGCTCAGTGCTTACCCTGGGACAAACTCCCTGTCAGGCTCCCCTGGGACCAGCCAGTGCAGGCAACAACAGGGACCTGCTCGCCGCCAGAGGCAGTTTGACTATCCCTTTTGGGTTGCCCATCTGTGCCCAGGGCTTTAACTCATCCGGTGACTCCGGGATGGCTAAGGAATCGCCTTGCCGCTGACTCTCAGTCATGTTTTCGTCCCTGAGAAAGTTGATTTCCAGACTTGAGGATGCAGTGACTTTGCTGTTAGGGAAAAGATGCTCTCCCAGTGCTCTTTCTCTTTTGTCTATTCTTGAGGTTTTTGGGTCCCACCCGGCGATGCTCAGGGCTGACTCCTGGCTCTGCGCTCAGAAATCACTCCTGGTGGGGCTCGGGGGACCCTATGGGATGCCGGGGATCGAACTCCGGTCGACCACGTGCAAGGCAAACGCCCTCCCCGCTGGGCTATCGCTCCAGCCCCTCCTTACGCTCATTTTAAAGTTGCAGTGTTCTTTCAGACGGAGCTGAGAACTTCACGCAGCCTAAACTGAATTTGGCAGTGTCACCAAAACGAATGTTTTATTGCAGAATTTGGGATAATTCCACTGTTGTATCTCAACACCTTACAGAGTTGGTGGAGGCCTGATTCTTCCAATGCTTTTAGTTTTTTGTTGTTGTTGTTGTTGTTGTCATCGTCGTGGTTTTTTTTTTTCTTTTTGGGTCACACCTGGCAATGCACAGGGATTACTCCTGGCTCTGCACTCAGGAATCACTCCTGGCGGTGCTCAGGGGACCCTATGGGATGCTGGGACTCGAACCCAGGTTGGCCGCGTGCAAGGCAAACGTCCTCCCCGCTGTGCTATGGCTCCAGCCCCTGTTGTTGTTGTTTTAAAGTTTGAAGATCATAGGCAAGTGTTAGATGAATATTCTTATCCAGTATTTCTGACGGAGTTATTAAATATCCGGGTTTTTCTTGTGTGTTTGTATTGGATTTTTGAATCACACCCGGTGATACTCAGGGGTTCCTCCTGGCTCTGCACTTAGGAATCACTCCAGGTGGTGCTTTGGGGACCGTAGGGGATGCTGGGGATCGAACCCGGGTTAGTCACATGCAAGGCAAACTCCATCTCCTCTCCCCTCATTTCCCTAAGGAAATGGCCATCACAGCTAGTGACGCCACCTTACCTGTGGCATGTGAGAAGCCCGAGTCGATCTGGGGGGAATAGTGGCCTTATCATTGCTCATCCTGGGCCCATGGCCGGCCAGAGCCTGCGGGTCATGGTTGGTGTTTTCAGATCCAGAGTCGGAGGGACAGAGAATCCGCTTCTCCTCCTGCAGAAAGTGGCCAGCTAAGGCAGATCTCACACTCATCATCCCGGGAATGATGTTTCTGGAAAGGTCACCGTGATTCATGTGCCCCAGGCTGACACGGGTTGGGGCTGGAGCGATAGCAAAACGGGAAGGGCATATGCCTTGCACACGGCCAATCCGGGTTCGATCCCCGGCATCCCATAGGGTCCTCCGAACACCACCAGGAGTGATTCCTGAGTGCAGAGTCAGGAGAAAACCAGAGCATCACCAGGTGTGACGCAAAAAAAAAAATTAATTAAAAATTTTTTATTATTAAAAAAATTAAAATTAAATTTTTTTAAATTAAAAAATATTTTTTAATTAAAAAAGAGAAAAAACCTCTGCAGACTTCGTCAGAGCAAACCAAAGCATTGAGAGACTCACGGAGATGCGTCTTAAGTTCCCGGGGACAGCCACAGGGCATCCTCCCTGAGGGCCGGGCCAGTGGCCCCCACGCTGTTCTGAACAGACGCTTTGGGAAGCTCGGAGTCGGGTCTTATTTTTCTAGGGTGGATGTGACAGAAAACCTGGTGTCCACGCAGTGCAGGCCAGTGTCCCCTGCATGTTCCCAGACTCCACTCCGGCCGCGATACAACTTTGGAGAGTGTCAGAGAATTACGGGGACTCCGGGCTAGAACCCAGTTTTTGGTTTGGTTACTTTGGGGGATGATCAAGGCCACACCCAGCAGTCACTCCTGGCGGTGCTCGTGGGACCCTTTGAGATGCCCAGGGTCAGACCCGGCCCTGAGGGATGTCGCACCTTCCCCGATGTCCCAGTTATCTCCCCTGGTTCTTCACTGCTGTTGTGATGAGGCTGCACTCGACCGTCTCACTCCGCTGCGTGGACATCCCCGGGCCAGTCTTCTTCCTTCTCTCTCCCGACCCCCTGCCCTGAGTGAAAATCAATTCTTGCATCTCCCCAAAGGGAGAGTGTGAATTCCTATTTGTCTGTGAATGGGTGTGTATGTAGCGTCCAACCGGGACTCACAATCTCTGTCAAAATATCTCCTCCCGGTGTAAGAATAAGAAAATAAAACACAGGAAATGAGGAAAGGAAACGAGAGAAGAGTCCGCAGACAGGAGATAGTAACTCTTCCTTTCAGTCATTTTGGAATCAGAACGGGCATTGTGTTTTGTTTTGTTTTGTTTTGTTTTCGCTTTTTGGGTCACACCTGGCGATGCTTAGGGGTTATTGCTGGCTCATGCACTCAGGAATCAGTCCTGGCGGTGCTCGGGAGACCCTATGGGATGCTGGGAATCGAACCCGGGTCGGCCGCGTGCAAGGCAAATGCCCTCCCCATTTCAGTACTATCGCTCCAGCCCTGGGGATCATTTTAAAGTATTTGAATGATAAATGTCCTGAAAAGTAGGAAACGTGGCTTGAACCCGGGCTGGCCCCATGCACAGTAAACAGTATTCGCTATGTCTGTCTCTCTGACCCAGGTCAAACTCCTGACAGTCACTTAGGGTTCACCAGGAAGTGGCCAGAGACTCGCCCATTGAATGTGTTTGCGGACCTCCAAGGGACCCAGACAGTCAAGCTTCTCTTCCAGGGGCTGGAGCACAGCGGGGAGGGCGTTGGCCTTGCATGCGGCTGACCCAGGTTCGATCCAGGTTCGATCCCCAGCATCCCATAGGGTCCCCCGAACACCGCCAGGAATGATCCCCGAGCGCAGAGCCAGGAGTCAGCCCTGAGCATTGCCAGGTGGGACCCAAAAAGCATGCATAAATAAATAAATAAATAAAGGAAGTGGAGGCAACCGTGAGCTTGGGTGCTGAGGATTCAGTGAGACCCAGCACCTCAGGCAGAGTCCCAGAGCCCTCCTATGGGTGCCCCACGAATGCGGGGACCATCCCAGGAACAAGCTGTTGCCCCTTGGGTGTGTGACCCGGGTTCAATCCCCGGCATCCCATAGGGTCCCCCGAGCACCGCCAGGAGGGATTCCTGAGCACAGAGCCAGGAGTCAGCCCGAGCCCTGAACACTGCTGAGTGTGCCCCAAACCAAAAAAGAAAGAGAGAGAGAGAAGAGGGGAAGGAAGGAGGGAGAGAGGGAGGGAGGGAGGGAGGGAGGGAGGGAGGGAGGAAGGAATGTATCTCCCTCCAATAGGTTTATTTGGACATTTGAAAACAGGCAGCACTATGGATTGAGGACCCACTTGTTCATATGTGGGTGCCTGTATTTTTGCTCAAAAAGCAAAGTCAGTTGCCTTAGAAACATGGAAATTAGGAGCTGAAGGTATAATACAACAGGGAGGGCATTGGCCTGGCACGCGGCCGACCCGGGTTCAATTCCCAGCATCCCATAGGGTCCCCCGAACACCGCCAGGAGTGATTCCTGAGTGCAGAGCCAGGAAAAACTCCTGAGCATCGCTGGGAATGACCCAAAAAAGAAAAAAAAAACGGTAAAGAGCCTCTGAAGGGATTGGAGGATAGCACAGCGGGTAGGGCGTTTGCCTTACACATGGCCAACCCGGGTTCGATTCCCAGCATCCCATATATGGTCCTCTGAGCACCGCCAGGAGTAATTCCTGAGTGCATGAGCCAGGACTAACCCCTGTGCAACGCCAGTATGACCCAAAAAGCCAAAAAATAAAAAAAAAATTTTAAAAAAAGAGAAGGACCCGATTAGATAAGTTGAAAAGTTCTATTAAAAAAGAAAAGAACCGGGGCTGGAGCAATAGCACAGCGGGTAGGGCGTTTGCCTTGCATGCAGCCAACATGACCGACACAGGTTCAATTCCCAGCACCCCATATGGTCCCCTGAGCACCGCCAGGGGCAATTCCTGAGTGCATGAGCCAGGAGTAACCCCTGAGCATCGCCGGGTGTGACCCAAAAAGCAAAAAAAAAAAAAAAAGAAA